GTCTGTCGCAGTAGATGATGTCACACTCTGAGTAGTTCGTAGCTGTAGTTTGTTACTGTTCTGTCTAGAAGTTGGTTCGCTCCGTCAGAGCAGCTCAAGCAGAAATAAGGTTCCCTCTAAACTGCTGATAGACACTTTGTGATGGCTTCTTCAAGCTGAATCTGGGTGAGCGCACATGCGGGTCCTGTGGGAGTGAAATCAGTCTGAACTCCGTCTCCTGGCTGTGAGCGCCGTCTTTAAGCGCTGGCTCGGTGCTCAGCTGGCATTGCTGAGCGCTGTGCTGTAGCTTATCTTAAATTGTCCCAAGGATAAAGCGGTTTGGTTGGGTGCCAGCCAGCAGCCAGCCTGCTGGGGAGCTCTTAAACCCTTCACTGGAGATTAATGAGAGTTTACTCCTCACAGCTTTCCTTTTAACGACCCCCATAAACCATTACCCTTACATTCGCATTCATTGTATTAATGACCGTGTAATACAGTGATAATTGTTGAGCAGCAAAGTGAGCAGTAATTCACTAAAGGCCTTGCTTTCCCAAAAAGTAGACTTCACAGTATTTTGTATGATAATATTTTAGATTATTTATTTAGATTTTATATTTTTACTGTTATTGTTTTTGTTGTTGTTGTTGCTGTTATGTAATATATATTTATTCAGTGTTATATATGGGATGTAACAGCTTTACAATACAATGCCAGCAGAACCAAAAGGCTTGTGTCATCCTGCACCCCCGTTTGTACCTCCCCCTAGTCCCTTCCCTGCATTATAGAAGATAAAGTCGTGTGCAAAAGTATGAATACCCCTGGTCCAGTTACATGTTTTATTTATTTTCGAAGTAAAAATAAGTTAACATCCCCTACAGAAAACACGCTTTGTGATTTTCTGCACATTTCAATGCACAATTTCTGTTTATTTAATGAGTTTAACATATTGGGAAAAATACAATAAAACAAACAAATAAACAAACAAAAAAACATATAAAATGTGCCAAAACTTTTGCGCAAATTTTTTTTGTCCAACCCTGGTCCTGGAGAGCTACCTTCCTCCAACCACAATTTGCCACTTGTGTTCCAATTAATCGACCTCTTTCCAAATCCCTGATTGGTTGGATCAGATGTATTAAAGTTAAGTAAGGGGTGGGGCAGCTTTTTTTTTTTTTCACAAACTGGAACTGAACTCTGCATGAAGGCAGCTCTCCAGGACCAGAGAGAGAACAACTGTGTTAAATTCAGCAAATAAACAGTAATTGTGCATTAAAATGTGCAGAAGTGTGTTCTCTGTAGAGGATGTGTTAACTTACTTTCACGTATAACATCAGCAAAACATAACTTGACCGGGGTGCCCAAACTTTTGTACATGACTATACATAGGATCAGACAGAATCACGCTAAACTTTAACACAGCTTCATAAAGCATAAATAAAAAAAAAGGAACTGATTGCTTAACTGAGGAGGTTTTAACTGCCCTTACTGCCTCTCTCCACATCTGCAGAGCAGTGGGCTTTGCTTGATTGAGACTATCTGTAGACAGTTCTACATCAATAACATCACATCATTGTTGTTGACTTTTATTTGTTCATCCAGAATTCAAAGAGTGCTTCTCACTGTATGACAAAAAACAAAAGGGAAGAATCAAAGCCCAGGACCTGATCGTAGTGATGAGATGTCTTGGTTGCAGTCCTACCCTGACTGAGGTGGACCGACATCTGAAGATGCATAATATAGGTCAGCTGAATTGTCATCTGCTCTGTTTTAAGCAGTCCATAGAATAGTTTATCAGTAGTTTGGAATCTCTTCCTGATAAATCGATAATGATTCACTGAATAAATATAATGATTTCCTGCTACTCATTTGTGACTGCAGAATGATAGTAATTGTGTTAGTATAGTACTGTATTATTATTAATTACTAACATTCTGGAATCAAAAATGAGTATATAAATCATTATATTTATTCAATTAATCGTTATCAATTTATCAGGGAGTAAACTCTTTAAATGGCCAGGGCTCGTCGACGGGCCCAAAGTTTTATTACACACTCTATACCCTAATAATAGCTTAACCAGTTTGCATTGAAGTCCCTGTAGTTACTGGATAATAAAATGTAACAAGCCTGGGATTTTAAGAGGTTAAATAATACATGACAAATACATATTTGTTCAGCGACAACTGACCATAATTTCTTAATCAACATCATGATCTTAACACCTCAACAATCCAGGTTTATTTCATACAACGGCTTATTATTCAGTAACTGCAGGGATTTCAATGCAAGTAAATGGAGTTTTTCTCAGGTTAAAGAAGAATGTTATAAACCTTGAGGCCCATTGGTACGCCCATGGCTTGTTAAAGAGGTTAACTACTCAGTTTATTAAGGTTGGTCTTGGCACCTAGGGCTAGAAGTCTTTGCCCTTTCTCTGATAGTTTTTGCTTTGACACAAATTGTCTTGTTCAGACAGGAGTGGGGAGCTGGACTTTTCCACCTTTCTGACCATGATGCATGAACAGCTCAAGCAGGAGAGCCCTGAGGAGGAGATTATGAAAGCCTTGCGTGTGATGGACAAGCAGAAGAACGGCTTCATTCTAGCCTCTGACCTCAGGGCCAAATTGACAGCGCTGGGAGAAAAGCTCACAGATCAAGAGGGTAAGCTGAGCTAGAACTGCGCAAAAGTGTAGCACTGGACAGCTTCAGAATAACTCACTTTGTAAAAAATGGACAAGGGCAGAGGTTGTTGTGAAGTGTTTGGACAGACTTTGATGAAAAATACTGCTTGGTGCACTTGAAATGTTATTTTTGCCTAATTTTAATCAAAGAATTTGTTTTACTTGAATAAAACCACTTAAAGTACTTGTTAGCAAAAGGACATTATTGATGGTCGATGTGACAAAATATTTTCATAGTGCACTGCTAACAGAATAATGCTCTGTATTGTCTATTGTTAATGCAATGTGGGAGGAATCTAAACACTGAAATATCCAAATTTAGTCAAGTAACGCATGAAAGCTAAATGGAATAAGTGAGAATACTTATAAATAGGTCTATGCACAAAACTCCCTGTAACATTACTATAATTTACTGTCGGCAGGCCTCCCAGGAAATTGTTACTTATGTACATTTTAAAATTTATAGCATTTATTAAAAAGTATAGCACTTTACTGTACAGTGGACCTTGGTCAGTTTTGGGTCTCTCATAGATTATGAGCTTGACACAGAAGGGTCAGCTGGTGATTTTCTCATGGTAGACAGCAGCTGAGCTTCGGGTTCATAAGCGGACAGAAATGGTCAGAGAAAGAAACGTTTGTATTTAAGCCTGATCTTTGTGGAATTTGCAACTCAGAACTGAACTAGACCTTTTTAAGGGACACGTATGAAATGAAACCCTATGGTGACCATTTTACAAGTCATGTCCTAGGAGACCAGCCCAAGTGTAAAATATAGCAGATTGTGTTTATAATATTTGTTTTCTTTGTAGGTTTACATTGCCCAGTGTTTCATATTCTAAAATGCTAGGGAAAAAGGCAGATAACAGTTAGTACAAACACAAGAGAAGATTACAGGAGATCGCTGAAGGTTACTGATAGGCTCAATGCCAGATGAAAAGTCGTCAGTGTGTGGCACCTCCAACACAAGCTGATTTGTGCTTTTTCCGCCATTCTGGAAGCATATCCTCGCAGAACGAGCACAAAAATAGAAACAGCTTCATCACAATGCTGTGCATGTCGTAGATTGCTTTCTTTTAATGTCTTATATTTACACACTGTTGCAGTGGATGAGCTCTTCAGTGAGGCTGGAGTGGGGAATGATGAGTGCATTTACTACGAGGAGTTTGCAAAGATGGTGACCCTGCAATCAACACGATGCTGAAGCACCATGAAGAGGATAATATCTCCTTAATAGTTTAATAGCACACTGGAGAATTTATTACTGTTTACATCAGCAAACTTGAACAGAAGAACAGGAACTTAATAGTGAGCGCAGATTACTAATAAAGCACTAAATCATTTCAAGAGGCATCATTACAATATTAACGTAGTAGTCCTAGTAGAATAAAACATTTACAGCTCCGCACATGCGATTATTACTGATAAGTACTTGGCATGCCATAGCGTGGGATGTTTTGGGGAATTACCACTTGTAGGTGGTTTGGCCAACAAGAAGAATCATGAACTGCACATTCTGAAGCTGGATGGCAGTTAAGACTTGGTATATTGTGTTTGAAGTGCCACATGAGATGTTACAGTGCCCCCTTGTGTCCTATGCATTGCACAGATGTTTCACATTGATTTGAAGCAGTGGACCTATGTCTAACATGAAGATCATTTAGGCAACAAACCGGAACTTCTATGTTGCAAGACAGAATCTAGAGCAGTTCTGGACACATTTGGCTCTTTTTTTTACACCATCCAACACCAGTGAAGTGAAGATGTTGCACCAATATATAAGCATTACATATTTTGTATGTTGTTATATCATAACGCTTCATCCCGACAATGGTTATAGTAATTTAAATGAATAATGATAAATGATCCATTAACCAGCTTTTTCAAGATTGGCAACACTATTAACTTTAACTCATCATGATGTCTTTTCTTTACTGCATAGCTGTCTGTCATCACTGCCATAAATTGCCTCTGTTGTCATGTTTTTGTTAGCATATGCAGTTTATTCCTATTCAAACAATAAACTCATCCTTCCCCTCTGCACTTCAGCATTCATAGTCAATCACAAAGCACAACACCTCGGCAAACGTTAATTAGATGGAATAACAGTTTAGCAAAAGCTTTCGATAGCCCCATTTTAATCGTCTTTATGGAAAAACCAAACATTGACCTGGAGAAGATAAGACTTTATTACTCGCTTTACAATCAACATCAGAGTCGCAGTGTGTACATTCATTTCCTTTGGGGCAAAACCATCAAGTTACTGAGAACATTTACACAATTTTATTACATTTACTGTAACAGGTGTTAATCTTCGGGCATTTTCCGGGGCAGAAGGTCAAGAAAGAAAAAAGAAACAGACCGTACGAAACAAATCCTGGATGTGTATCTGAAGCTTACACATAACACTGAAGATTTCCACAGACTCGCCCAACACAACACTGCGTCAAAATGTTCACACTTTTCCCCAAATACCAAAGAAGTGTAATAGAATCGCTGCTGCCAGTTCCTGCTCGTGTCTGGGAAGATTTCACTGCACAACAGAACTGGTTTGCGCGTTCGTGAGTCTTTCTTACATTAAATAAGTAACTTTTCCAAACATATTTACAGGTAGCTTATGTCGACAGAGGCAGACAGAGCAGTCATGCATTGCGTCCGCACTCGCTTGCACTTCGCAGCTGACTGCAATGGCTTTGAGTCGTACGCGCGATCTGGGCACATTCTTATATTCACAGATGGAGGTTTCTGTAGCGTAGCTGAGCACAGTTGAGGAACAAAATGTACATGACGCACTGGTACTTTTCAGATACCTCTTAAAAAGGATGGCTCTTCAAGGGTTCTACAGTGACGACGACTGTTCTGTTTACAGCCATGAGTTCTATGTAGAACCACTTCATGATTAAATGGTTCTTTAACCACTGGAATGGTGCACGGTGACGTGGTGAAATGGTGAAATGGTTCTTTAGAATGCTTTGTAGATGATTATATATAGCAAATGTGTCTATACTGGCCCAAAAAGTTTCTGCTATTGTTACAAGCTTGACCTCGCATCCATTTTCCATTTTCAAACAGGTTCTATAAAGATCCATAGCACGTTCTCTATTAATATGAAGAACCATTTCACCATGCAAAGAACTGTTCAAGCAGGAATTCAACATTTTGACGTTTTAGAGTACCGAAGTCAGGACTTTAGGAACTCTTTTATTCCTCAGTCAGGTGTGTTAGGTGATTGTGAGGCTGTGAAAGCGCCCCCCCACCATGGACCTGTTGTGATGCAAGACAATTTACAGAGGAATCTGACAAAGTTTATCGTATCGTATAAAGTCTACATTGAAGTCGTGGTTCTAAATATACCCCATCGGCTTTACTAAAAACCCTTGAAGAACCTTTGAAGATCTTTTTGAAGTGTGTAAGAACCACAGAGAGGACGAAAAAAAAAACCTTGGTAGTCGGTTTGGCAGTAGCCTGCGCGCGAGGCTCCGCCGGTGTCCACATTGCGTTTTTACGCACCGTTGCGCATTTACCTCGGCGTTCCACACTGGCCGTTAAGCCCGGAGAGCCTGCACTGCTCCGTGTCGATCACATTCAGCGGGATGGCCGCCTGGCTGTCGTCCTGCTCGCCTTTAGTGCTCCCTGAGAACGGACGGACCCGGCAGCCATTGACCGCGGCTGGAGAGGAGAACCTCCAGAACAAGTCCTTCAGCATTTTCCTGAACTCTCTCCTCGTGAGGCAGTACAGGACCGGGTTGAGGCAGCTGTTGGCGTTCGCCAGGCAGATAGCCACGGGGAACACGTACGTGTGGCATATGTAGTAGGCTTGGTCGAAGTTGGCCAGGTCCATCCTGACCAGCACGCCCCACAGGGTGATGGCGTGGTTGGGCATCCAGCAGAGGAAGAACGAGAGCACCACGATAGTGACCGACTTGGTCACCTTGGAGCGCCGCTTGGGCAGGTTGTTGTTCATGCTGCGGAGGCGCACGAGCCGCAGGAGCAGCAGGTAGCACACGCACACGATAAGCAGCGGGATTACGAAGCCCACGAAGATCCTCTGGAGGTGGTACAAGCCCGGCCACAGCTGGTCGGGCAGGCTGATGAGGCACAGGGTCTCGTTGTACACTTTCTTCTGCGTCGAGAAGGCCACGGTGGGCGCCGTGGCCACCGTGGCGAGCAGCCAGAGCAGCGCACTCACGCGCTTGACGGAGCAGCGCGCGCGCCTGGTGCGGTCCCGCAGCGCCGAGGCCACGGCCCAGTAGCGCGTGACGCTCATGGCGGTGAGAAAGAAGACGCTCGCGTACGAGTTCATCACCGTCACCGAGAGCACCACTTTGCACATGACGTGGCCAAAGGGCCAGCTGTAGTCGCGCGCCATGTCCACGGCCCAGAAGGGCAGCGTCAGCACGAATTGGAAGTCGGTCACGGCCAGGTTCAGGACGAAGAAGTTCACGGACGACTGCTTCTTCCTCTGTCTCGACTTCATCAGGAAGAACACCAGGATGTTGCCCACCAAGCCCACGGCGCACACGAACGAGTAGACGATGGAGATGAGAAACAGGAGCACGGGCGAGCCGTCCGCGAACACCTCGATGTCCTCCAGGTAGGTGAAGTGCGAAAAGTTGAAGGTGCTCTGGTTGCTCGCTGCGTCCGCCATCCCCGCCAAGAGCGTCTCGACCACAGGTGCCTTCACCAGCACCAGCTCATGAACCGCTTGCATGCCACCTCAGAGACCCCGAAAGCACACAGATAGTGGAGATGGTGTTTGAGTTCTAGTGGAACGCGGGAGTGCGTCTCGCCTAGCAGCTCGGCTGTGGTCACTCGGGAGGGACAGCATCTCTCTGTTTACTAAAGTGAAACAAGCGGCCGCTGCTCTATGCGGGTGCTTTCGTGCATGTGGCGCGCGAAGGGCACGCCCCTAGATGGCATCCATTGGTCAAAAGACCTGTGATTCGCAGCGATTGGTTAAAATGACCCTTGAGTCTCAGAGACTGGTCTGTAAAGCTTTGGGTCTCAATGATTGGTCAGTAGGGTTTTGGATCTCAGTGACTGGTCAGTAGCACTTTGGGTCTCAGTGATTGGTCAGTGGGGTTTTGGATCTCAGTGACTGGTCAGTAGCACTTTGGGTCTCAGTGATTGGTCAGTAGGGTTTTGGATCTCAGTGACTGGTCAGTAGCACTTTGGGTCTCAGTGATTGGTCAGTGGGGTTTTGGATCTCAGTGACTGGTCAGTAGCACTTTGGGTCTCAGTGATTGGTCTGTAGTGCTTTGGGTCTCGTGATTGGTCTGTAGCACTTTGGGTCTCATAATTAGCATTATTAGCCAGGTATGCTTACACATACAAGGAATTTGGTTTTGGTGCTCATAGTGCACAGTATGAGACAAACATTTGCATGTAGTAAATAAAATAAAATAGAATAAAATAAAACATGCATTCCTACCATCACTCACTCATACACACACAGTCATACCTGTAAACCTTACAATGTGCAAAGTATGTGTCTTATATTAAAGTGCTGAGTGCAGCAGCGATTAAAGGGTGTATAGTGGCAAAGAAAGGGAGAAGTGAGGTAACAGTCAGATAAGTGGGGTGCTAGAAGAAAACGCTGGTCTGAGACGGTACTGCGCCACAGTCTGCGGAGTTCATGCTTGGTTCATGCTTGGTGGCTACCCCACACTGTGATGGCTGTGTAGAGCTGCACAATCAGCTCCTGGGGCAGGTTGAACTTCCTCAGCTGACGCAGGAAGTACATCTCTCTCTCTTGATGATGGAGCTGATGTTACTGTCCCACTTCAGGTCCTTGGTGATTGTTGTGCCCAGGAACTTGCAAGACTCCATCTCCACTGTTTTCGCTGTATTCAGCACCAGGCTGCTCCAAAGGACCACCTGATCAACCACCCGTCTGTAAGCAGACTCTTCACTGTCTCGGATGAGACCAGTCACTGTAGTGTCACCTGCATACTTCAAGATTTTGAGGGGTCCGTGGAGGTACAGTCGTTCATTCAGTGATTGGTCTGTAAAGCTTTGGGTCTCAGTGATTGGTCTGTAGGTTTTTGGATCTCAGTGATTGGTCTGTAGGTTTTTGGATCTCAGTGATTGGTCAGTAGCACTTTGGGTCTCAGTGATTGGTCTGTAGGTTTTTGGATCTCAGTGATTGGTCAGTAGCACTTTGGGTCTCAGTGATTAGTCTGTAGTGCTTTGGGTCTCAGTGATTGGTCAGTAGCACTTTGCGTCTCAGTGATTGGTCTGTAGCTCTTTAGGTCTCAGTGATTGGTCTGTAGCACTTTGGGTCTCAGTGATTGGTCTGTAGCACTTTGCATCTCAGTGATTGGTCTGTAGCTCTTTGGGTCTCAGTTAATGATCTGTAGCTCTTTGGGTCTCAGCGATTGGTCTGTAGCACTTTGGGTCTCAGTGATTGGTCTGTAGCACTTTGGGTCTCAGTGATTGGTCTATAGCACTTTGCATCTCAGTGATTGGTCTGTAGCTCTTTGGGTCTCAGTTAATGATCTGTAGCTCTTTGGGTCTCAGCGATTGGTCTGTAGCACTTTGGGTCTCAGTGATTGGTCTGTAGCTCTTTGGGTCTCAGCGATTGGTCTGTAGCGCCTTAGGTTTCAGTGATTGTTCTGTAGGTCTTTGGGTTTTTAGTGATTTTTCGATAGGTCTTTGGGTTCTCAGTAATTAGTATGTAGAGCTTTGGGTCTCAGTGATTGCTCTGTAGTGCTTTGGGTTCTCAGTTGTTTGTCTGTAGCTCTTTTAGCTTCAGGTGCTGGTCTAATCACACTGGAAATTCATAAGTGTAACAAAAAGGAGCACCAGAGGTTGAAAACAGATACTTCAAAACAGTTCCCATTTATTGCTGTTTTTATTGCACATTTATGAGCCACACAAAGGTTTGCACTCCAAGTCCTGCCTGTCTTATTACTCAAACACAATGTACTTCGACCCTGGCTAATTTAGGCTGAAAAAAACAGTTTAATCATTGATTTCTGCTGAACCTCAGGGCGTCTATGTTGTTCCTGTGATAAGGGGTCAGTACAGAAATGGTTCCTCCTACAAAGAGCAGTCCTATAACTGGAGAGCTTTCCTAGAAATAGAAAAGTACAGTTATAATAAACAGTTATAATCGTTTACTGTTTACTGCATGTTGTTTCAGTATTTAGTGTCAAGTCAAGTCAAAGTTTATTTATACAGTGCTTTTTACAACCGGCATTGTCACAAAGCAGCTTTACAGAAAAAGCCCAAGTGTCTACTAAGATCTTTAGTATCCAAGCATAGTCTCAGTCAGAAGTGTGTATTGATTGGTTTTAAAGTAGTCTGCTCTGTCTACATAATCAGCCTTGAGCCCTGTATTAGGTATATTCACAGGGACCAATGTAAGGACTGAGTTTGCTCATATTGCTGACCCTGTCCATCTTCTTCTAAGGCAATAATAATAATAATAATAATAATAATAATAATAATAATACTATATCTGTAATTAGATAGACAAACAGATAGACAGAATGATAGATTGCATTGTAAGTGCTTAGTAAAGGCTATAATTCTATATAGAACCATGAATTCTCAAAGAACCATCTGAATTCATAAAGATTTCACTGCCTGGTGAAATGGTTCTTCTCTGAAAGTACAGAGCAGTGCTGCCCAGTAGTAGTGTTATTAAAATTTTGAATTATCAGTCCAGCAGGAGGAGCAGGGGCGGTCTTTGCGCTAGGTAAAAGTAGGCAGCCATCTAGGCCTATGAAGCAAGAGCCACATGAAAATGCAGATTAGATATACTGTACGCGTTCATGTTAAATATCCAATTCTGAAATACACATTATGAACATAGCTATTGTTTTTATTCTAGCAATACTTTTCATTATTTTTTAATGCATCCCCACCCCAGTAAGTTGTACAAGTGTAGCAAAGAAATGTAAAAAGGAGAAGGAAAGCAAACTAGTTGTTGCTACTCCCAAAGATAGCTTGTTTTTTTCAGTCAGATAGACTACCCAGACTCAGCAGAGCGTACGTAATAACAGCATTAATGTTAGTATATATAGCTCCAGTGTTGGGCTAATTACTCATAAAAATCCATTATAAGTTCTTGATTATTTCTTTCAAATTGGGATTACATTACTTCCTACATCCTTGAAAAATCTGAATCTCGCTGCTCATTATTTTACTGCTACATTACTTTGTACCAAAATATCTCGCTGTATTAATGGACATGTTTTCTTGTTTCAAGCATTATTTCTTAAGCACATTCATCTGCTAATATGTGGAGTATTCTTACAACACTATCAAAGCGAGAAATATTTTTTGAAATATTGTATTATTAATTATTAGAAATAGATATATTGACTAGATTTTATTTTAATAAAATTGCCAACACATCATTGTTTGCAGTGTAGATGGTTGCACCACTCAGGAGCCCAGAGCGTCAACTAATTTAAAAATGTGCAACCAGGGGCCCCCACTCCTGTCTGTTGCCTAGAGCCTCAGAATCACTAAATCTGCCCCTAAACAGGAGCCTGTGTTGCCAGAGGTTTCCTCATTATAGTCTAATAGCAGCTCACGTGCCACTCCTGGGCTCAGTGCATGTGTTGCAGAATGTTGAGTAGCATGGAAGGGGTGTGTGACATTGTCCATGATGGCTAACAGTTCTTTTAGAGTCTTTTATACTGCAACAACCTACAGAGAACATAGCTTGACTCCTAAGACAGAGACAAACTTATTAATCAGTTTGTTTGTCTGTTTGCCCCAACACACAACAGCTTAGAATAGAGAACCCTCAACGATAGACTGGTACAAAACACTCTATGCATGTGATAGTCTAACCACATCTATTATGATCTGCATTTAAAACACCTACTCCTGATAATATCTGGAATGTTATTCCAGAGTTTTAGTACTATAATGTCCTCCATAAGTACTGGCACCCCTAGTAAACATGAGCAAAGTCTGAGTCTGCACAAAACATCCTTTATTGCTGATCCTTTTGATCATCATGCAAAACATTAACAAAACTTTAAAACATTAAAAAAGCTTTGTTTGAAGTGCTGTGTTTGGAAAAAAAAATCTTAGCCAGAAATGTTTTTCTTAGATCTGTGTGTGCCACAATTGTTGCCACCCCTTCATTTAATTCTTTGTGCAGCCTTCCTTTGCAAAGATTCCAGCTGTGAGTCTCCTATAATGCTTAATGAGACTGTAGAACACATTTCCTTCCTTCCTCTTCAGCTCCTCCCACAGGTTTTCTATAGGCTTTAGGTCAGGGGACTGGGGTGGCCATGGCAAAACCTTAATTCTGTGGTCAGTGAATTGTTTTGTGTTGATTTTGAAGTGTGCTATGGATCCTTGTCCTGCTGAAAGATCCAAACTATGAGTCTGTGATACCAGGTATCTGAATAAATTGTTCAGGGTCTTTGGAAGAAAAACAGCCCCACAGTATCACGGATCCACCACCATACTTCACAGTGGGGATGAGATTATTTTCTTCATGGGTATTAGTTTGGGAGACGTTGTGACTAATTTCTGCAAATCCCCATCTGTGATCCTTGGAGATTCTTGTCCATTCAAACCATCCTTCTCACTGGGTGTGGGTCAGTATAGACATGCGTCCTCTTCCCGGAAGATCTCCAGTTGTTTTACACTTCCTAATTATTGCCCTGATAGTGGAAATGGGCATTCAACTGTTAAACTATTTTCTTGTAGCTATTTGCCCTGTGTTGCATCTCATATATATTCCCACGAATCAGGAAGTCATGATTGCCCATTTAAGTGTTGCTAATCGCTCAGGTGAACTTAAAAACATAAATTATTAACGTTAATATACTTCATTTACATTTAACTCTTATGAATTTCTAGGGGTGCCAGAATT